GGGTTGGTAGTTTAGGTATGCTATATTACTAAGCTTTCAATAGAAATATATTTTATTTATTTTTTATTACCAATTTAAAAATGGTTTTGTTTTGACATTCAATACATTTAAAGTATTGAAAACAATTCAGCTATATTAAATTTAATGTAAAAGTACATTGATGATTGACAAACTATAGAACTTAAAGACAAACATCATTAAATTTGCATTATCTTGTTAGTTCTTTACTATATCTATAATTATATAAAATATTTGAAAACTTCTTTCTCACATATGAGTTTAAAAAAAATAAAAATTAAAGAACATAATAATTTAATTTAAACAATAAAATAATTTCTATGAATGAAAATTAAAAAATGTAATTTAGGTAAATCAAGTACACATGCAATAATATGGGCAAAATTAATCATGAGTAATGGCGATGATCATGGATTACATGCATTTGTAGTTAATATTCGAGATCCAAAAACAATGTTACCATATTCTGGAATCATAGTTGGTGACTTAGGAGAAAAAGCCAGTTTAAATGGTGTTGATAATGGGTAATTTGATTTATTTTATAACCATACATTATTACAAGGATTCCCAATCATTTTTACTTGATGGCATACTTGGTCTTTTGACCATTTAATTTATTAAAAGGTTACGTTTATCTGAATAATTTAAATAAAATAAACAATCAAAATACGAAATAAAAAAGAATATAATATATTTTAATAACTACAAATTTAATATGATTTATTTCATAAGTAGGACTGGGTTCAGATGTACTTTGCATTGTCTTCTAAAGCTGACTGTGCGATGATCGTCTGGTCACAAATTTATTTTATGTACTTATGATTGAAAATAAGAAAGTTTATTTTGGATTTTTTAGTTTTAAGGCAATTTTCTTAATTTTTTATGGCATTTTAGAGTTTTTGTAGCATTTTTTGAGTTTTTGGAAACCAAGTATGAATTTAAAATTTTATCTTGAAATTTTTACACCAACATGGTTTTTATATAAATATAACAGATTATAAGTAGGTAGGTACTCATAATTCGTGTTATATTATTGGACAAAGTTTGAGTAACCACTACCTRCATTTCCTGTTAAATAATCTTAAATCAGTAAAATCAACGTACTATGATATTGTTCGACTTTCAGTATGAGTTTTGTCGTCGTAACACCGTTTTATTACTCTCCTTGACATTTTTTTGGGTTTTTTAGGGCATTAAAATCTTGATAGTAAATTTCAATAAAGATAAATATATTTAAGAGGACGCTATACCCGCATGTGTTGTCTCCGTCTTATAAGTGCGTAACATAACAAATTTTACGCTCAGCAGATCACGCATAACTCGGTTGTTTAAAATTTAGAATGAGTTGACCTCTTATAAAAATTAAAGGTAATATTATTACGGAGAGCTTCTCATAGGCTTTTTATTATATTTTAATCTTAAAGTGAGTTTTGAGTATTTTAGATATATAAAAAATTTATAATTTTAAAATATTCATTGCTCGCTTTAAAATAATAAAGCCTATGAGAAGCCCTCCATAATAATATTAGCTTTAATTTTTATGAGGTCAACTCACTCTACATTTTAAACTAGTGGGGAGCTAAATGTGATCTGCTGAGCGTAAAACTTGTTATGTTATGTACTTGTAAGACAGAGACAAGACATGCAGGTTAGGGTAGGGACATAATAAGAAAAAAATTATATGGTATACTTTTGTTGGGAAATTCTTAATGTTATAATATGGTTGAGAATCCCTGCATTTAACTAAATAAGTTAAGAGGATGTCAGCACACTATTTTTTTTTATCTCTCTGACCCATGCTCAACATAACCAAACTCATTGTGCTGAATCATTTTTCTATGTTTTTAAGTCATCTTAGATTAAAATCACCTATAACAAAAAAGATACCTAGAGAATATAAATATAATAAATATAAATATTTTTGATGGAATGACATCAATATGTCTAAATATTGTCTCAAAACAATTTAAACATCATTTGTTTATTTCGAAAGTTGAATACAAAATTAAGTATAATATTGATATGCCATGCCCTCAAAAATATTATTCTCTATCTTTTTTGTAATGGTTAATTTTACTCTTTGATACTTAAAAACACAGAAAAAACGATTCTGCTTAAAAGTGTTTTGTTTATGTTGTGTGTGGGCCAGAGAGAGAAAACAAATAGTGCACTGACATCCTCTTAATACTGTTTTTATAATACATATATTGTAATAATAACAAATTGTTTTGATAGGTTTATAATGTTTAACAAGTTTTGTATACCAAAAGAAAATTTACTGAGTAAAACTGGAGACATAAATGAAGATGGGAAATATGTTTCACCATTCAAGGATAAATCAAAACGATTAGGTAATGTAATATGTATTATATGTAGTATACACTTTAATAATAATTTATTTATAACAATCATAGCCTATAGTTTTATAAACTATCATTATTAAACATTGAGGTATACAGGGTTATTCACCAATCATAAGCATGACATGATTTTCCTCTAATAATAAATTTATTCTAATATTTATTTTTGAAATTTTTAAAAAACATTCTATAACTTTGTATATATTTGAAATTGTTTTTAACAATATAATATTATATAATCTGAATTATGTCTATGTCATTATTAAAGTTATCTAATTATATTTACAGGAGCTTCTTTAGGCAGCTTATCAGTTGGACGATTAAGTATTGTTAATATATGTGTAGCATACATCACAAAAGCTGTTCCAATAGCTATACGATATACAGGGGTTAGGAAACAGTTTGGACCTCCTAATGGTGATGAATTGCCAGTCTTAGAGTATCAATTAGTAGTAAGTGTAAATTATAAACTTATTTAATTTTTTTTCACATTACAATTTATATTTACTATCTTTTGATACTCTGTACTGATGTAAATTATAATTTATTAATTATTTTTAAATCTGTAAATTATTTAAACTGTTTAATTTTAGCAATGTAGATTGATCCCCAATTTGGCTGCTGCATATGCCTTAAAAATCTATGGCGATTATGTGGCTAATGTGTATGAATCATTTCTAATTGAGATGTTTACYAACAKTGGTTCAGAAAAAATTGTAATAAAAATATATTATTCAAACAATTTAAAATATTTTAATGTATATGTTATTTATGTTTAGAGATTGCTTGGCATAGAAATACATGCAATATCTAGTTGTACTAAACCTATTGCTGCGTGGACATGTCGAGATGCAATACAAGAATGTAGAGAAGCATGCGGTGGTCACGGTTATTTAAAAGGTATTACAACCCACATTTATGTGTTGTCTCCATCTTACGATTGCGTAATTAATAAAATTAATGTTAAGAGGACACCATACCCACATTTATTATTTCAGTCTTACAAACGCGTGACATAGCAAATTTATTTCGTTAGCTTAAAAATTAGAGCTTTTATAAAACTTGATGGTAAAAACATTATTTGTGATTTGTTGGAAGTTTTTTACAATAATTCATTTTTTAAGTGAGTTATGATCATTTTTATTTTTACAATTTATTATACACGCACAGTGGTGTAGATACGATTTTTTTCTGGGGGGGGGGGGGTTTAAAATATATTTATGACACAAATTACAAGTTATAAGTTAAACTAAACATATTAGTATTATATAAGTATCACAGAAGATAAAATACCAATATAAAAAGTTTTTTTGGGGTGGTTGGGGGGTGTGGGTGGAAACCCCTTACACTCCCCCCCCCCACGGTAACTACGCCACTGTACACGCATAATTCACTTAAAAACTGAATTATTGTAAATAAAACTTCCAACAAAACACAGATAATGTTCTTACCATCAAGTTATAATAGGTTTATTCACTCTAATTTTTAAGCTAACTGAATGAGACGTGAACTGATGAGCATAAATTTGTTGTTATGTGTTTGTAAGACTGAGATAACAAATGCAGGTGTGGCATCTTCTTAAACTTTGCTAGTTTTTATAATATATAAATTAACCTATGATTAAATTAAACATTCTGTTTAGTAAGATGTTTTTTCTYGATATTTTAATTTTATTAGCATTTTTAAATTTAAATTTTTACTGTAAACAGCTTTAAAATTAAAATATTTAAAAGAAAAACATCCACAACAGAAGACAGAAAATATTCTAACCTTTTAGTTTAATAAAGGTAATAGATTAAAAGTACATCAAGACTAACAAAGCGAAACGTGGGGTATATTTAGTATGGAATGATGCACGCTAAGATAAACCATCACATGCAGATGATACAGTCTTTTGAAATATTCAATGTAATTTATTTTTTATAAATCCTTAATTGTATAAAATTGTATTATTAGCTGCTGGGCTTAGTGAACTACGTAATGCAAATGATGCTAATTGCACTTACGAAGGTGATAATAATGTATTAATACAACAAACAAGTAATTGGCTATTAAATATCTGGAAAAAATTGCTGAATGGAAATAAAAGTTGTTGTGATACTCCATTGGGTACTATAGAGTTTCTTAAAGATGCCAAAACTATACTTAATGAAAAATTCAAACTATCTAGAGTAGATGAAGTATTCACACATATGCGTGAGTTTATTATTTTAAATAATTTTTTATTTAATATTATAAGTGATTTTACTGGTCCACTTAGATTTACTATCCTGTTTCCAATGGATGATATGCTATCTATTACGACAGACTTATGCACAATTGCAACTATTAAAAGATAATAAAAAAGATTTATTTACAGCAAAAAATGATTCCCAGATGTTCTTTGCTAGGGATCTGTCAATAGTATTTGCAGAAGTAAATTTGTTATATTTAAACTACTTAAATTGTGTGTCTTATAAATATTAAAATCTATTTTCAGTACTTAATTTTAAAAAAGTTTATTGAAACAACATCATCTCCAAATTTAGATTATGCACATAAAGTAGTATTACATAAACTTGCTTCACTTTATGGATTTTGGCTAGTTGAAAAACATTTGTCAATTATGTATGAAGGTATATTATGATTAAAAACATTAAATATTTAAAATATTAACGATTATTACTTATTTTAATTAATAGGTGGCTATGCTAATGGGCCATTAGCATCTGTAATAGTTAAAGGATCCATAATAGATTTATGTTCAAGTCTTAAGAATGAAGCAGTTTCACTTGCTGATGCTATAGTGCCTCCAGATTTTATACTTAATTCAGTATTGGGCGCTTCAAATGGACAGGTAAACTACAAATTAAAAATTAATATCAATATTAAGATGTATACAATGTTGAAGTTAATAGTTTAACACCTACTAGTAAATAATACTTTATATATAATTTTAATAAACTCCATTCCATAAATGCAGTTCTGTGCTCTTCAAGTATCCTCCTATAACATTTCTTGATTTGATATGACATATTAGCAATAATGAGAGGATTAGGAAATGTGATAAGTGTTGAA